TTCAAGCTTGGTGACTGAAGCTAACTTCTCGTCAGCAAGCTTGATCTTCTCAGCTAGCTCAAGGTCTTTCTTCTGCTGGGCCTCCCTTACCTTACCTGCAAGACACAGCAAGATCAGATGTTGAAACAAGCAAGAGAAAAAGCAGTCGTCAAGGTCTCACCAAACATACCTTCAGTCTCCTCCTTCGCCTTTGTCAGCTTCTCCTGAACCAGCTTCAAGCTCAGCTCGACTTGAGTATGTTTCTGTTCTAGCTCTGAGTAGCGAGCCATAAGATCACAGGAGTTCTGCGAAGAACCAATCGACTAAACGTCAAAAATAATTCACTTCCGAGTGAAAAAGGGAAAAACACAAGTTTCTAAGACTACAGCCGAATACAAGCATTCGACCGTAGTCTCGGGGACTACACCCAGTGGGTGCACTCAGCGTGCCCCCACTAATCCTGTTGAAGACAAAGTCGACCAGTCGACCTCAAAAAAAAAAAAACAGTGTGCGAGACGCATTATCTAAGACTGTGATCAACTGCAAGCAGTCGACCACAGTCTCGGGGACTACACCCAGTGGGTGCACTCAGCGTGCCCCCACCAGTTTGCGAAATCCAGTCGACCAGTCGACTGATAGAAAGATTGACATTATAAAGCCTAAGGCCGACTGCCAGCAGTCGACCTTAGCCTTGGGGACTACACCCAGCGGGTGCACTCAGCGTGCCCCCGCTAACACGGAGTTTATTCGACACTCCCAGTGGGTGACTAATATAAATCCCGGAAAAGAAAAGTTTTTGGTAGCATATCCAGCAGAACAAACAGCAGTCGACTGACCTGGACATTGCTTTGGAGGGCAGAGCTGGCGTCATAAGCTGCCTGACTCGCATCCCGGATGGTCTTCAGCTGCTCCATCATGAGTCCCGCCTGGCGTATCGCCTCCTTCGCCGCACCAGCTTGGTCCTCTGGGACGTGGTGAGTCGTGAAGAGGGAGGGCTGCTGAGCACTCGTCAGTGGGGTCGCGAAGGTCACCGTGTGTCGAGTGGTGTTCTCTCCCTCCACAGTCAGAATTTCAGGCGCTGACACATCCTGAGACACCTTGCCGGCGGACGCTTTCCGACTCCTCCTGTGCTTCAGCGGCTCTTCATCCTCATCATCATCAGGTAGATCGATAACAGTGTTGGGTGGAGCTGCAGAGAAGGGTCAGGATCAGAGATCGCGAGTCAGTCGACTAAGAATGGTATTAAGAACACAGCACCTGGGTTCGAAGTTGCTGCATCCTCCATCTCGTGGTCATCGGCCCGGGCCGAGGTCTCAGAAGTAGCAGCACTGCAACTCCAAAGGATCAGTCGACTAACCTCAGTGTCGACCAGAGATAAAGTTTGCACAAAGATAAGAAAATATGAGCAACACAATTACCCTGAAATGGTGGGGATGGACACCTTCATCTTCGGCAGGAGCTTGGCCGGCTTCGATGAGGCCGCCCTGGGCTGCTTCGGCGCCTTTTCAGTCGGCGCCGGAGAAGTGGTCCGGGGGCGCTTGGTCGATTGGGTGGCGGTCGCCACCCCCTTACCACGTTCGGTCGAAGGGTCGTGGACAAGCTTCGACCGCCTTTCTGAGCGCGGTGGAACGACCTCCTCTTCCTCTTCTTCCTCGTCCTCGATGTCATCTTCGTCATCTTCATCATCATCATCGTCGTCATCACCCCCTGCGGCATCCGAGTCCCATTCCTCCTCTTCCTGGCTCTCGCCCCCGCTCGCCTCGCCCCCGCTCGCCTCGCCCCCGCTCGCCTCGCCTTCCTCAGTCGAAGCTTGTGCCCCATTGGGCATCGAGTATAGCTCGGTGAAGGCCTAGCAGTCGCCCAAACAAGGATCAGTCGACCAGTCGACAGGGTTAGCAGAAATGAATACGACGAGGGCAATGGAAAGCAGAGCAAGTGTACCTTGTTTGGGATGCTGTCGTGGTCGAGTGGAGGAATTCTTCTGGCTCCGCGCGGGTTGTCCCTGTTTCTGGTAACGGCTGCCATCCATCTCTCCAGAGTGACATCGTCGACTTCTTCTGGGTGGACTCTAGTCTCATCTTCGGGCCCGCAGTACAACCACATGCAGTGGCTCCTGAACTGGAGAGGCTGGATGCGACGCTTGAGGAAAACCTCCAGGAGGTCCATGCCTGTCACACCGTCCCGAACCAGCTGCACCACGCGCTCCATCAACATCTTCACGTCGGCTTTCTCCTCCGGAATCAGCTTCAGGGGGGAGGGCTTGTTCACTCGGTCCATGGTAAACGGAGGGAGTCCACTCGACTGCCCCGGCGTCGACTGGACCTGGCAGTAGAACCAAGTCGACTGCCAGCCCCTGACGGACTCGGGAAAAGACATGGGCGGGAAGGTGCTATTGTTCCTCACCTGAATCCCCAGGCCCCCACACATTTGGACGACTCGGGTCTTCTCGTCACCTGGGCTCGCCTTCTTCACGGTCTGAGAGCGACACGTGAAGATACGTTTGAACAAACCCCAGTGCGGTCGACAGCCCAAGAAACCCTCACACATAGACACGAATGCAGCAAGGTAGGCAATGGAGTTTGGGGTAAAGTGGTGGAGCTGCGCTCCAAAGAAATTCAAGAAACCCCGGAAGAAAATGCTCGGTGGCAAGGAAAACCCCCGATCGACATGAGTGGCCAGAAGCACACACTCACCCTCTTCTGGTTGTGGCTGCCACTCCTTCCCCGGCAACCTCGCAGCTCCGTGAGGGATCAAGCCCTCGTTGGCCATGTCGAGGAGGTCCTTCTCCGTGATGGTCGACTGGATCCAGTCGCCTTGGACCCAGCCTTTCGGCAGGCGGGATCTGGACGAGGATCCTCTGCGGCTGGTGGATCTCCCCTTCGCCTTCTCCGATGCCGACGCCTTCTTGGCACGCTCCAGCGCCGCCGTCTTCTCCTTGGCCATGGTCGCCGGTGAGATGCACGAAGGAAAGCGGTGCGGAGGCGAGAGCGGGCACGCTGAGCAGGAAGGGAGCAGAGGGAGAGAGGGAGAATGCGGAGGCGCAGCGCAGAAATCTTCGCCGGGCACATTTATAAGGTCCCTTCCGAGTGGCTGACGAGTGGGCCCGGTCGATCTAATCATATCTGTGAGCAGTTATGAGGACTGGATACGTGGCGAAAAAGGCGGCGCGGAGATCGAGGCGTCTACGCCCCGTCCTATCCGAACGCCGCGGTCTGCCCCGCTTCGCGCGCGCCCCCAAATTTCGCACCCCGCAGAATCCGCGAACAACAAACCAGTCTGTCAGACGCGGTGATTCCGGCGATCCGTCGCTCGGAGATCGACGAAGCTCGAAAGATCACTCGACGCAAAAATAGAATGGATCGAGTCGACCAAAGACGAATTGCTCCCTGTCAACGAAGAGATTCTTTGATCCAGAACAGCGCACAACTAGAGCGCAAAGGTTAATCGGAAACGACATCAACTCCTTCTTCACTCAAAGCCTCAATCCATTCGGGGGCTAATGATGGGGTTATGTACCTAGGGTAGGGTCACAGACCTGTCCCAAGTAACTTACCCTAGGACATCCCTAGAAGAGGTCGCCTTCCAGTCGACCAACGAGGACTCACTCGACCAACGAGGACACACTCGACTGGCCTGAAGGACTCGACCACGAAGACGCACTCGACCACCAGGAGGTCAAGAGGCACTCTGCACCGCAACGGTCTGTAATTAAGTAGACTTTATGATAGTAAAGGCACTTTATGTGGGGCGTTACCAGTAACGCCCCAGACTTAACTCACCTTAAACCTTCTCCTACGTGGGCTGGCTGGGGTCCTGGCGCACTCTATATAAGCCACCTCCCTCCACAGGCAGAAGGGTTCGGCACCTTGTAATCCATACATTCATAATCCACTCGACCGCCTCTGGGCTCCGAGACGTAGGGCTGTTACTTCCTCCGAGAAGGGCCTGAACTCGTACATCCTTTGTGCTTACAACCTCTCCATAGCTAGGACCTTGCCTCTCAATACCTACCCCCCACTCTACTGTCAGGCTTAGAACCACGACAGGAGGGACCCCCCACCTCCCAAGGAGGGGGAATCCTTCTCCTCCTCCACTTGGTGGAAAAGGGAAGGATTCCTTCCCCTTCCCCATTCGGCCTAGGGCCCGCCATAAGGCATGGCGCCCCATGTGGGCCCTCATAGGCCTACTAGGGGTTGTCATCTTATGACGGTCCTTCATAACTTTCTTTCACAAATAAAATTCGGAATCTTTCGGATGTCTCCGGAGCCCATTCCGATGACCACTAATCATGGCCCACAAATAATGCCACTGGCAGAGCTTCAGCAAGGCCGAAAGGGCCGTGGCCCGCCCAGCATTTTTACATTTATACACTATTTTTTTTTAATTCCTAGGCCTTGGGACATCAACCCGCGTGCTATTTAGTTCTATTTGGCCAATCCAGCCCGCCCAAAAATTGGCCTCAAGCACCGCCAGTTGCCACACATATTTTTAGTAATTGTCATGCTACATCAGAGGGGAATGTCACTTGTTCAAAGTGCTCAAAAAAAGTTATTGGATTCGACGTTTGCCTCTTTCGCTCGGGAGGGTGAATGAAACAAATGATGCGCTCATGCAGACGGACGACTGTCACCGCGTTGAGGTTCGCACGTGAAATCAGACACACCATAGAGCGTTCGTAGCAGAAACCACCAAAAAAAAAACGATAGCAAAGCAAGCATTAGTTTTAGCGTTGCTGACCCCGGTCGTGAAACCGTCTTTTCAACATGATGACTTGAGATCTAAACTGAAAACACGATGGCAAAGCAAGCATTAGTTTTAGCATTGCTGACTCTCTGAAGATCATAGGAGAGATCTCGATTGCAAACGTAAAGCAGCAAACAAGCATGACTGATCCTCTAAAAGTAACTGAAGAATATAGGGCCTCCGGTGAGGTCGAGCGAGACACGCGTTACATCCACAAAACGGTAGAAATCACGGAGTATATCACGATCGAGATGCATGATTTGATCGAACGGCGCGCGTCACACCTGTTCGTGTCCTTTAGGAGGAGGGTACTGCCCGTAGCCTCGTCCAGGAGGCGGGGGTAGCTGCTGCTGCTGCTGCTGCTGGTTGGCTGTGTGCGCTCCATAGCCTTGTCCTTGTGCCGGAGGAGGGGCGTAGTGAGGGTTCGGCGCTTGGCCGTACCCCTGCCCCTGCGGAGGCTGCTGCTGGAACTGCGGCTGCCCCATGCTGATCACGGCGGCGCCCGCCGGCATCTGCTCGCCTTCCTTGGGCGCGGCGGTGGCCGGCTGCCCGCGGAGCATGACGTAGGAGGTGAGCCCGAGGGCCGTGGCGACGAGCGTGAGCACGGCGCCGCCGGCGAAGATGCCGTCCTTGAGGACGTAGCACAGCCCGAACGGCGACGGGTCCCGCGTCCCGGTGGTGTTCCACGCCGCGCCCGTCACCAGCAGCGAGAACGCGATTATCGCCATGATCCTGCATGCATGCATGTTTTAGTCAGCAAGTAGTGGCCCGGCTAGCGAGCGCTTGCTGATTTATCCACCGAGGATCGACCACTCACCATGAGAAGACGGCGCAGACGACGCCGATGATCCGGTTGCTCTCGGAGGGGATGGCGCGGGACCTGCAGCAGCCGCAGCAGCCGCCGACGACCGCGAAGGCGATCTGGGCCACGATGAGGAAGATGGCGGCGCAGACCCCGAGCCCGAGCGCGGGGTTCTGCGGGTACAGGCACACCCCTCCATCCACGTACAAGTCCGAAACCTGCAAGATATGCATCAACAGAGTAAGTAAGACGAACACACGTGTACATGTAGTACATCAGTAGCAAGGATAGATGAACGTAGTGAGTGTGGTAGCTTACGGTGAGCTTGGTGCCCTCGGCAGAGAACCCCAGGATGGCACTCAGCACCCCGAGGGAGCCGACGACCGAGCACACGATGATCGTCTTCTGATCCATTTTCATGGCCAATGCTCTCGATGGAACCTCGACCTCTTTTGGGTTGCGGTCGACTGGCGTGCACCCGTGGTTTATATAGAGGGAGCCCGGGCCGGGCGTGCATACATGTCACCGGCGCCGACGCGCGTAGTTCGGTTGGTGCAAGCCTATGTCAAGGAAGGGCGAAACTTCTACGACCATCGCCATCACCTTAATTACTACTGCCGGCGCGTAATTCCTCCATCATTACGTTTTTTACGTACGTGGGCGTAATCAAGAAAGTTACTACTGTCCTTAATTAGGAAGTTGACATGGTAGACAGCTTCGCCTTCGCGACTTATATCCATGGTTCTGCCGGCGCGGTAACTAGTACAGATAGCCATCTTATTGTTCTACTGTACATAAGTGATAGAGAATTGCGTCCGCATTGTTTCACACTGCGTCCACAGCGATGGATCTCTAGCATGCTAATTCCGTACGGTGGGGCCGAAATATCTCTTGGTTTTATCGTACCTTCCATCCACGAGTGGGCCATCCAGACACTGGGGACCAATGGGTTTCGGCCCCGACGACTTTTGACCCCACAAATGGCCAGTCGATCATTTTGTTCTGTCTTGCAATGGCGTGCCGTGCTCGTTTTGGTTCCTGCGCTCCCATTCGACCGGGGTTTGCCTAAGTCTCAATTGACTTCAATTTTGTTTTTTAAGTTGACTTAGCAAGTCCTTTTGTCTCTTGGTCTTCATTGTTTTTCGACGATTACTAGATCTCGTTTCTAGCGGTGAATGGTTATCGCAGTCTTCAAAACATAGTATGGTGATGATGTTTGCAGGTTTGCCTCTCCGTATTGTTGGTTCTATGTAATTTTCAAGCTCCAACGGACGGTGTACTATCGAAGGAGAGAGAAGTCCAATATGATTTTTGATGTAATATTATTATCTTTCTCAGACATTTTGTATCTTGTTATCTTTGCATTGGATTGATTAATTGTTATCCTTGATAATTATAGAGATGTCTTTTTTCAAACAAAAAATTCTGAAGTGTTTCATGACAAAGCATTCAGTAGTTTTCTTGCAGATGATGTATTCCTGACAAGTTTTTGCTACACCTACGATTAATTGTAGACTTACAATTACAAGATGAGGTGTTAACATCTGGTTGGACGGGAGGAGCCCACACAAAAATCAAGGGGGAGGGAATTAGTGGGAGGCCGTGGAGGGGAAGTCCGTAGGGGGTTTCGTAGGAGGTTGCCCGTAAGTACGTAATTTTCGATTCTTGACTACAATGTGCTTCACGATCATTTTTAACTCCCTTTTCGTTGGATAGTTAATGGGATTCTTTAGAACCTTTGAGAGAAGGTTGAGACACTAAGGGTGGGGCTAGAGTATGACTTCTAAAGGCCTTGGTGTAAATTTTCATATTTTAGTGGTCTTTGTTGTTCACTTTTTTACGGGACATCATCAAAAGCATAGCACGATGCTCCTATCATTTCATTAAGAAATGAAACCATCAAGTTGACCCAGTTTATACAGAAACTAGACCGAAAACCAAAATGACATGATTAATTAGGGGATAATCAAGCAAACACCGTGATGATGAACTCGAGCAAACCCTAACGAAAACTAGACTCGACAACCAAACACAAACCAATGTCCGTGAGCCAAGGTGACCCATGGCAAGTGTGAAGAACCCCTTTGACAATGCCTTCACGGAGAAAATGACGCTTGTGGGCATCAAGATCATCGGCACAGATCCCCCCTTGGGACAAAGCTTTCACACTACTACAGATCCGAACCCCACTGACCGGCGAGATTGTATCATCATAGACAAGTTTCTAACCGGTAAGTGCCTCGGGGTCAATGATGACTTGCTAATCACAGGTGGGCCAACCAGTAGGTAACTGATGTTGTACTTGTTATGACTGCCAACCGGTCAGTGATAACAATTCCGTTCACCATTGCTTGCACGCGCTTTATTGAAGTATGTTACCAGCAATGCAAACGAAATTGACAGAAAAATAGGAACACAATGTACAGGCATAATCATTTATTTGCACATTGCTTTTCATAACAAAATTCACATGTACATTTACACGGTTCACAACCAACAATTCGAGAATGCTAGCCAAAGACACACACTTCACAGTTGAGCCTCTTGACAAACTAGATTTTGAACCAACAATTCGAGAATACTGGCCAAAGCTACACACACTTCACAGTTGAGCCTCTTAACAAAGTTGAGAGCGACAAATATTTTCTCACCGATCTCTCTCCTACTTCATAAACCCCTTGGCCCTGTTCTTTTGTGCAGTGCCACTAAAATGTAAGTCTGCACACAACAAAATTTGTCAAGACAATTAATATAAAATATTTATTGGTTCATTTAATACAAATTTAGTTAAGAAAATCATAACTAAGTTTATTAGACTTTGCTCAAGGATTCTCTAGGCTTCTCCAAGAAGTGGCAAGTGGATATTTGTTATGTGCTGGAGATGGCAGAATCTTCCAACACTTGCTTCGAGTCCTAGGAAACTATTTACATTGCATGATTCTGCCACTTGTGCACACAACCCGTATTAGTTAATGGATTTCACTTTCGTTTGTGAAGATCCGCAACTTTGTCAGCAGGATTTCACTTTCGTTTTAATTATATTATCTTATTTAGGCCATTGATGTCGCACCATAGTACAAACAAAAACAAGTTGGGCGTACAAGTTTGATGTGTAGACAAATGGCTTGAGCCAGTGACGGAGCTAGATGCAGATTACGCCTAGGGCTGTGTTATGTTGAGTGATAAACTTCTATGATTTTCTATGCTTTGCATGAAGAAATTACAAAGGAAGTTGTTTCTAGGCCTGGGGCTATAGCCCTAGCTGCCTCAGGCCTGTCTCCGCCACTGGCTTTAGCTCAGTAACTATGTAAATGAAAGTATTATCACAAAGCCACTTATAGAACTACATATTCAACGAGTGTGCTTGTGACATGTGGGCGTAAGTTCTGATGGTGTGCATGATAAAGCTACGATTATGGCGAAAGTTGTCTGATTGTAATAATTTGCACGTGTGTAAAGTTGTGAAGTTTGCTAAAAATGGTCAGAAGGTGGCATCAATCAAACTGGCAAAACACCGGCAGTTTGTCTGTCGTTGTCGCCGCCGTTGCATCGCTGCGCGTGGAGTCCTCCGGCCGCATGGCCGTCCAGAGACCGTTGAAGCAGTCACGCCCATCCTAGATGTGCTTTTGTGCTGCCCATCAATGCTCTGACATGCCGCCGGCCGGTTTCTTCCACCTCGCACGCAACCTGTTCGACAAAATTATTTGTTGGAGTAGGCAGTTTACATCACCAAATATACATCATCTGCTGGAGTAGAAAGTTTATATTACAAATATATATCGTCTGTTGAAGTTGACTCTTTTTTAAAATGTAAAAAACACTTTTTGATGATGTAAATTATACTGCACTCACTTTTACATCTCCAAATTTACGATGCTCTAAGAACGAAGATAGTACATCATTAGGTAGGTAGTGTTTAAATCAATACTAGTAATACTAGCCAACCATCAAATCTAATGAAGCCTTCGACGTTTACGTGTCACAAATTACTCAAGTGCGAGGTGTGTTGGCGGTGTTTTCTCCCCCTTTTGACCTAGGGAGAAAAACCTTGAACAGGTCATCTAATCAAAGCCCATCACGCGTTTATGAAAAAAAAAGTCTATGTACGTTCCTTTCATAGTTACTGAGTTCAGGCCATTTGTGTACACAGCGGCTCGTTGACAGCTGTAGCAAACTTGTACTACGGCAGATGCTCGGGCCATTCGTGGTGATCTCTTTTGCCATTTGGACACACGTAGGAGTACTTGGCAGGGCGCGCTCCGTCTCTCGCGTACGCGTTTTACGACCCCAAACACACGTTATCTTTTGCTTCTGCCGTGGTGATCTGCAAGGCAGATCACTGGTTCCTAGTGGGCACGACAACGGACCGGTCGTCTGGACGTTGCGGATTTCGAGTTGGAGTTGACATCTGACACTGATGGCCTTGGCAGCTGGTTCTGACCAATTCAAACAAGTTATACCATTGACCAAATAATGTGCATGGTGATGAGCAAGTTGCCCATGTTCTTCCGGGATACACACACATGATGCGTGGCCTGTCGCTTATAACCTGCTAAGGAGGATATCGATGAACAGTACAATTGGTTGTCCAACGTATTTGGATACACAGACGGCACTTACATGACATGTATATTTTCTTCCAGTGGGTCTAGCAGACTCTCTAGCTTTTTCAAAAAAAAAAGGAAGACCATCGATCTCTGCATCTGGGCAATGCATGTAATTACTTTATTAACTATTCACAAAAGACCTTACAAAGAAATACAGCAGTAAGTCTGAAGCCACCTTCTAGGCAATATCTGTCGCTACTTATATCCAGTTGGTAAAAAGATGTTGATAGTCCGGGCCTAATATCACAGACCTCGCAGCCAAGCCTAACATTTAAGACCTGAGGCCCCAACTAAGCCACTTGCCGGATATGGGACACACACCGGTCCGGCGCGCTCTCGGAGGCCGCCGCCGCCAACTGCCATCATTTCATCTTCAGAGTTGTACTGACGCATCATCCTTATCCGGTCTAGCTGCCGTCGACACCACCACGGCGGCCAATGTCACCACCTCCCTGCGCGCGAACTGCTGAGCACGCCGCGGTCGCCGCCGGTACACCTTAGCACCATGCCGCCAAGTACCACCAGCTGACGCAGCTTGAAGTCTCTGGAAGATCTGCCATGCGTAGCACCTGCTGACTAGGCATGACAAAGCATAGCACCTCTCGGTCAGGCATGACTTGACATCTCCACTAAAGCTTCGTGCAAGACGGAGCCGCTCCACCTCCTACCTCTGACTTCCAACGCTGATCCACAAACGATGCTCCCAAGAGAGAAACGACACTGTAGTGCTGCCATCGTCCGATCTGGAAAGCCAGATCCTAGGGTTTCCCCCGAAGCAGCACAAGTGGGTCGACAATAGTTACAGGACGATGC